AAGTCGGAACATTTTTTAATACCGAAATAGTAAAAAATCAAAATACTGAAAAAATCCAAAATTGAAAAACCCAACAGTGAAACAACGAAAACTTGAAAAATCGGAAAATAAAAAAAATCGAGAAATCGAAACGTCGAAAAATCAAAATATTGATTAGTAAAATTGAGAAGTCAAAAAATCAATAATCAAGAAACGCCAAAATTGAAAAATGAAAAATTTAGCGATCGGAAAATTGAGAAATCGAATAAAAAAAAATCGAGAAATTGACGAATCGACAAATTAAAAAAAAATCAAACTGAAATATCGAAAGGGTCATTAATCGAAAAACTGAAAAATCGAAAAATTGTTATTCAATTTTTTAAACCGAAAAATCTAAAAGCGAGAACTCGAAAAATTGAAAGATCGTGAAATCGAAACATCGAAAAAATGAACAATCTAAAATTTAATAATTCGAAAAATAAAAAAATAGAAATAACGAACTGAAAAATCGATATATCCCAATATCTCAAATGTAAAAAATCAAAAAATTAAAAGATCGAGAAATTGAAAAATCAAAAAATCAAGGCATCAAAAAGTCGAAAAATTCTGAAATACCGAAAAAGTAAAAAATCAAACATCAAAAAAATGAAAAATTCCAAAATTGGAAACCCAACACTAAAACAACGAAAACTTGAGAAGTCGAAAAGTTGAAAAATCCAGATCTCGGATAGTCAAAAAATCAAAAAATTATTTAGTAAAATTGAAAAATCTAAAAGTCAAAAATTTAGAAAAATCGAGAAATTTAAAAAATCGCCGAACTGTAATATCGAAAAACTTGTTATTCATTTTGGTTAGGGTTTTACCATCTACATCATATAAAATTAGACAACAGAAGAGTCGAAAACGGGACACCTATTTTTTCATGCTCTAGGGTCACGAAACGTCAAAAAAACAAAAAAGTAGTTAGTCGTACTAATGAAATTTTGTCAGATAATTAGGATTATTTGGTTGACAATGCCTAATCGGCTTTTCGCATTAGGGTGCAATTTAACTCCCATTATAATTCAGTAAGTCGTCACACCCCAATGTCTTAAATCCGCTTACTGATTCCTACCTGAAAAGACCTTTTCTTGTAAAAGCACAGGGGGTATTGAGTTTCGCACTTACCTGCAACTGGGCCTTTATAATTTTATGACGGTGGGCTGTAAGTACTTTAAAAGTCAAAGCCATAAACGCTCTAAGGATAATGAAACATCAAGAAAGCATAAAAGTAGCTAATCGTCTAATGAATTCGATTACAATATAATTATACTTCCTAACCTCACTTACGAAAAGTTGAGAAGTCGAAAATTCGGAAAATTAAGAAATCGAAATAGATCAAAATCGAAAAATTTTAAATTGGAACATCTAAAAATAAAAAAAAAAACGATAGATGGAAAAATCTAGATAAATCAAGAAATGGGAAAACTAGAAAATAAAAAAAACTCAAAAAATCTAAAAGCGAGAACTCGAAAAATCGAAACATCGAAAAAGTGAACAATTAAAATTTATTATGTAATTCGAAAAATAAAAAAATGAAGAATTGACTAATCGAAAAATCCCAATATGTAAAATTTAAAAAATCGAAAAATTAAAAGATTGAAAAATTGAAAAATCAAGAAATCAAGGCATCAAAAAAACGAAAAATTGTAAAATTGAGGAACCTAAAATTGAAAAAAATCGAAACATGTTTAAATACCGACGAAATAAAAATTCAAAAAACTGAAGAACCCAATAGTGAAACAATGAAAACTTGAAAAATCGAGAAATCGGAAAATAAAAAAATTCAGAAATCAAAACGTCGAAAATTCAAAATATTGGTTAGTAAATTTTGCAACTGACGTCATCCTATTGTTGGTGGGGAAAACTAGCTAAATTTTGGTTAGGGTTTTACCATCTACATTATATAAAACGGGACACCTATTTTTCATGCTCTAGGGGTCATGAAACGTCAAGAAAACAAAAAAGTAGCTAGTCGTCCAATGAATTCGTTTACAATATGTACTTCCTTACCTCACGCTTGTTTTTAAGTTTAAATTGAAACATCCACTATTAAAAAAAAGGTAAATCGAAACATCGAAATCTAGACAAATCCAGAAATGGAATAACTAAAAAATGGAAAAATTGAAAGCTCGAAAAATAAAAATTTTAAAAAGCGAAAAGTCGAAAAATCGAAAAGGTGACAAAATCTAAAATTCCATAATTCGAAAAAGTAAAATATAGAAAAAACGAAGAACTGAAAAATCAAGAAATCCCAGTATCTAAATTAAAAGTAATTTTTTTTTTGAATCGAAAAAGTAAAAAATGGTGAAAAACTCAACAGTCAAACAATGAAAACTTGAAAAATTGAGAAATCGAAAAATAAAAAAATTGATTAAAAGTAAAATTGAAAATTGAGAAATCGAAAAGCTGAAAAATTGAAAAATTAAAAGCTAGAAAAATTGAAAAATCAAGAAATCAAGGCATCAAAAAAAAAACGAAAAATTATAAAATTGAAGAACTTAAAATTGAAAAAAATCGGAACATTTTTAAAAACCGAAAAAGTAAAAAATCAAAAAACTGAAAAAACCCAAAATTGAAAAACCCAACAGTGAAACAACGAAAACTTGAAAAATCGTGGAATCGGAAAATAAAAACAATCGAGAAATCGAGACGTCGAAAAGTCAAAATATTGATTAGTAAAATTGAGAACTCAAAAAATCAATAATCAAAAAACGCCAAAATTGAAAAATGGAAAAATTGAGAAATCGAAACAAAAAAATCGAGAAATTGACGAATCGACAAATTAAAAAACAAAATCACCAAACTAAAATATCGAAAGGCTCATTCATCGAAAAACTAAAAAATCGAAAAATTGTTATTCAATTTTTTAAACCGAAAAATCTAAAAGCGAGAACTTGAAAAATTGAAAGATCGAGGAATCGAAACATCGAAAAAGTGAACAACCTAAAATTTAATAATTCGAAAAATTAAAAAATAGAAAAAATGAACTGAAAAATCGAGAAATCCCAATATCTAAAATGTAAAAAATATAAAAATTAAAAGATCGAAAAATTGAAAAATTAAAAAATCAAGGCATCAAAAAATCGAAAAATTCTGAAATACCGAAAAAATAAAAAATCGAATACCAAAAAACTGAAAAACCCAACACTAAAACAACGAAAACTCGAGAAATCGAAAAGTTGAAAAATCCAGATCTCGCATAGTCAAAAAATGAAAAAATTGATTAGTAAAATTGAAAAATCTAAAAGTAAAAAATTTAGAAAAATCGAGAAAATTAAAAAATCGCCAAACTGTGATATCGAAAAACTTGTTATTCAACTAAATATATAATAAAAATTCATCACGGATTCATAAATCATAAATTCAGTTTGAGTCAACAGGGATTCATAAACCACATGTGCATAAGTATCGTATTTTATAAAATTTAAATAACATTTACTAATGTAAATTTTGCAACTGACGTCATCCTATTGTTGGTGGGGAGGACTAGCTAAATTTTGGTTAGGGTTTTACCATCTACATTATATAAAATTTGACAACAGAAAGACGAAACCGGGAGACTTATATGAAAATAGGGTCATGAAACGTCAAAAAAACAAAAAAGTAGCTAGTCGGCCAACGAATTCAAATTTCTTATTGTAAAATCACTTTAACCGCGTGCTTTTTGAAATTTTGTGAGATAATTAGGATTATTTGGTTGACAATGCCGAATCGGCTTTTCGCATTAGGGTCGAGAAGTCGAAAAATCGGAAAATTAAGAAATCGAAAATCGAAAAATTTTAAATTGAAACATCTAAAAATAAAAAAAAAACGATAGATGGAAAAATCTAGATAAATAAAAAAAAACTCGAAAAATCTAAAAGCGAGAATTCGAAAAATCGAAACATCGAAAACATGAACAATTAAAATTTATTATGTAATTCAAAAAATTAAAAAATATAAAAAAAACGAAGAATTGACAAATCGAAAAATCCCAATATCTAAAATTTAAAAAGTGGAAACATTGAAAAATCAAGCCATCAAAAATTCGAAAAATTGTAAAATCGAGCAATCTAAAATTTTAAAAAATCAAAAACTTTTGAAAAGCCGAAAAAGTGAAATCAAAAACCTGAAAAAACCCAACTTAAAACTAAACACAACAGGCATAGTAATACGGCCAAAATTTTAATAATGATTTGGGAATAAATGTTCAAATTCAAGCTGTTCACATTAATACAAGTTTTAATATAAAAAAATTGAAGGAATCATCAGGAGAATTTGTACAAATTTCGCGCTAATAAACCGTAAACGCCTCGATTTCTACAACAAAAGCAAGATGGGTATAATTCACCCATTTCGCTCTGTTCCTAACCACTGCGTCAACATTACGCTCTGCATTGATCAACGTCACCTCTTATCAAAACGCGGCTAAACCGCGCCCTAATCCTTCCCTAATCCGGAGGTAATCCGGGCCGATTATCGCCCTTCCGGTCGATTAGCCCGCCTGACGTCGATCCGCCCTCCTCCAAAAAACAAAAGTCCCTAATTCGTTCCGTCAACAATTTACCGCTTCGAACTGCAAAAATCCAGCGCAACAACAATCCGCTCAATCAACAAGAACAGGTGCTATCTGTCATATTTGCTCACGGCAAATACCTTGCCACCTAACTACGCAAATGATCGACCCCACGGAGTCTTCGCGTTGTTTGCTCCAGCAGCGCTTCCTCGTCGCGCTTGTTGTTCGCTGCAACAATTAATTATTCAGTATTTGTAAACGCGTCACCATTTGAATAACACCCAGAAATTGCATCGGACCAAAGTTCAAGGAAGTGTAATCTTCGCTTCTACGAACGCTATAAAATCTAATTCGCGCTCGTAAAAACGCGGACAAATATTTGCCGGAATGTCGCTACTTGACAATTAACGTTGTTGCAGTCACGAGGCTCGATTTGTCGTCAAACTCGGCTTTTATCGATGCTGATGCGCGTCCTTTATTCCAGGTATCGCGATGCGTTGGAAAATGTGCATATGCATCTTCACCATCGTCTGCTGGGGAAGGACTCTGTGCGTCCCCCAGCACCTGATCAACGAGTTCAAAACTTCAGTGCTTCCCCTCTTCGGGATGAAGGAGCGGCCGAAGCTCCACGGCCAGAGGCCACATATCCCGGAGGATCTGAGGAGGCTGTACGACATCCAGAACAGTCTGGATTATGACACGGCCTCCCTACCCCTGCCCGGGCTTCACACTAAAAGCGCCAACACAGTCCGCAGCTTCCTGCATGTGGGTATGTAAGCATGCTTTAACTTAAGGGGGGCGTCTGCGCGCCAACTTTGAAACCCACGAAGAAATAGGTCTCCCGATTCCGTCTGTCCGTCTGCCCGGAATTTGAGTTTTTACCCGGAACGTCCAGATTTTTGGAAAAAAATAAAAATTATAGAACAACATTTTGTAATGCTTTGAAATCTTGCAGATGGTTTACAGATGATAAATTTTTAATGAAAATATATGTATTTACTTATCCCCTCCAAAAAATTGATGACGTCAGCTCAAAATTTTGCCCAATAAATCTAAAATGTCTAAAATTTGAAAAAATTTAAAAATGGAAAATTAAACTATTGAAAAATTGAAAAATCCAGAAAAATGGAAGGCTTGCAATATTTAGAAATCGAAAAATCGAATTAAACTGAAAAATAAAAAAAATGAGAAATCAAAAAAATGTTAAAGTTAAAAACTCGAAAAGTTGAAAAGTCGAAAAATGAAAAATTTTTTAAATCTCAAAATTGAAAATCCGAAAAATCGATAAACCGAAATATATAAAATTAAAAAATCGAAAAATTGAAATATCTGAAGTGTGGAAAAGTTGAGAACAAAACATTTTAAAAATTGAAAAACCGAGATGCCGAGAAATGGAAAATTGATTTTTTTGAACTTAATTTTTTTTGCTATTTTTGTTTTTGAAAGATCGAGAAGTTGAAACATAAAAAATTTAAAAATCGAAAATTAAAATATTGAAAAACTAAAAAATTCAGAAACGGAAAATTTTTTGATCAGTTGAAAAACCGAAGACTTAAAATATCTAGAAGTCGAAAAATCGACAAATTTTAACATTGAAAAACCACTGAAAAATTCGAAAAATTGAAAAATTAGAATTTTAAAAAATCGGGAAATTGAAGAACGAAAAACCGAGAAATCGACAAACTGAAAAATCTAAAATTTAAAATAACTAAAAATTGAAAAATCCAGAAATGGGAAAATTCCCAAAATTGAATTTTAAATATTGAAAAATCGAGGTGTTGAGAAACGAAAAATTGAAGAATTCAAATTTCAAAAAAATTTTAAATTCGCGAAATCAAAAAACATCGAAAAATGTAAAAAATTTAGAAGTCGCAAAATTGAAAAATTAAATTTAAAAAAATAATTTAAACAATCGAGGTATCAAAAAATTTTAAAAGCGAAAATTAAAATACTAAAATATATAGAGGGTTGAAAAACCGAAGACTTGAAATATTTAGAAGTCGAAAAATCGAATTAAACAGTGAAAAACCGAGATGTCGAGAAATTAAAAATTCGAAAAATTAAAAATTTAAAAAAACGAAAAACTGATAAATCGCAGAACTGAAAAATGAAAAATTTTTTAAATCTCAAAATTGAAAATCCGAAAAATCGAGAAACCGAAAAATCTAAAATTTAAAGAAATTGAAAAATTAAAATATCTAAAAATTGAAAAATCCAGATGTGGACAAATTCCCAAAATTAAAGTGTGGAAAAGTTGAGATCAAAAAATTTTAAAGATTGAAAAACCGAGATGCAGAGAAATGGAAAATTCGAAAAATCAAATTGTAATTTCCAAAAATTTAAAATTAGTAAAATCGAAAAACATCGAAAAATGTAAAAAAATTGAAAAATCAAAAAAATGAGAAATCGAAAAATATACAATTAAAAAAAAACTTTAAAAATCCAAATGTTGAAAAATCGAGAAATTGAAAAATCTGAAAACTGAAATGTAGAAAAATTGAGAAAAAATTAAACATTAAAAAATCAAAAAACCGGGAAATGGAGGAATCAAAAAGTCGAGAAGTTGAAAAATCGAGAAATTGAAAAATTAAATTTAAAAAAATTGATTTTTTTTATGTAAATTTTTTTGCGACTTTTGTTTTTGAAAGATCGAAAAATCGAAACATAGAAAGTTTAAAAATCGAAAATTAAAATATTGAAAAACTAAAAAATTCAGAAATGTAAAATTTTCAAAGGAGTGTTGAACAGTTGAAAAACTGAAGACTTGAAATATCTAGAAATCGAAAAATCGAAAAATTTGAAACATTGAAAAACCATTGAAACATTCGAAATTTAAAAAAAATTGATAAGTCGAAAAACTGAAAAATCAAAAGGAAATGAGAAGTCGAAAAAAAATAAAATTCAAAAACTCGAAATTTGAAAAATCGAAAAATGAACGAAAAATCGAAAAATGAAAAATTTTTTAAATCTAAAAATTGAAAAACCGAAAGATCGAGAAATCGACAAACTGAAAACCTAAAATTTAAAGTAACTAAAAATTGAAAAATCCGGAAATGGAAAAATTCCCAAAATTAAAGTGTGGAAAAGTTGAGATCAAACAATTTTAAACATTGAAAAATTCGAGATGCCGAGAAATGGAAAATTCGAAAAATTAAATTGCAATTTCCAAAAATTTAAAATTCGAACATCGAAAAATGTAAAAAAATTGAAAAATCAAAAAAATGGGAAATCGAAAAATCTAAAATTTAAAAAAATCCAAGAGTTGAAAAGTCGAGAAATTGAAAAATCTCAAAACTCAAATGTACAAAAATTTGGAAATCGAAAAACTGAAAAATCTAAACATCGAAAAATTTAAAAATCGAAAATTAAAATATTGAAAAACTAAAAAATTCATAAACGGAAAATTTTCAAAGGAGTGTTGAACAGTTGAAAAACCGAAGACTTGAAATATCTAGAAATCGAAAAATTGAATAATCGAAAAGTGTAAAATTTAAAAAAACGAAAAATTAATAAATCGAAAAACTGAAAAATCAAAAGGAAATGAGAAATCGCAAAAATGTCAAAATCAAAAACTCGAAATTTGAAAAATCGAAAAATTCAAGAACGAAAAACCGAAAAATCCAAAAATGAAACATTTTTAAACCTAAAAATTGAAAAACCGAAAAATCGAGAAATCGACAAACTGAAAAATCTAAAAATCTTAAATAAACTAAAAATTGAAAAATCCAGAAATGAAAAAATTCTCGAAATTGAATTTTAAACATTGAAAAACCGAGGTGTTGAGAAATAAAAAATTGGAAAAATTGAAGAATTCAAACTTCAAAAGATTTTAAATTCGTAAAATCAAAAAACATCGAAAAATGTAAAATGTACAAAAATTGAGAAGTCGCAGAATTGAAAAATTAAATTAAAAAAAAATTTAAAACCGAAAATTAAAATATTGAAATGTATAGTGTTAAGAAACCAAAGACTTGAAAAACCGAGATGTCGAGAAATTAAAGAGTCGAAAAATACAAAAATTGATGTTTTAAAAAATCGGGAAATTGATGAATCGAAAAACTAAAAAATCAAAGAAAAGAGAAATTGAAGAATAAAAAATCTAAAAATAAAAAAATGAACAATTTTAAAATCTAAATATTGAAAAACCGAAAAATTGAGAAATTGACAAACCGAAAAATGTAAAATTAAAAAATTTAAAAATTATTTAAATAACTAAAAACTGAAAAATCGAAAAATTTTAAAGATTGAAAAACCAAGATGTAGAGAAATGGAAAATTCGAAAAACCGAAGAATTGAAACTTCAAAAAATTTGTAAAATCGAAATAATCGAAAAATGTAAAAAAACTCTCGAAAAAATGAAAAATCGAAAAATCTAAAATTGAAAAAGTTCAAAATTGAAATGTAGAAAAATTGGAAAATCGAAAAACTGAAAAATGAAAACGTCGAAAAATTGGAAAAACAAAAAACTGAGAAATTGAGAAATCGACAAATCGAGACATGGAAAAATTGAAATATCGAGAAATAGAGCAATCAAAAAGTCGTAAAATCGAGAAATCGAAGGAGCCCAAAATCGAAAAATTGAAAAATTTAAATAAAAAAAAATCAAATTGAAAAATCGAAAAATGTAAAATTTAAAAAACGAAAAAATGAAAAACTAGGAGATCAAAAAAACGAGAAATCAAAAAATCTATAATATAAAAATCGAAAAATTTAAACATCAAAAAAATGAAAATCCCAAATGTCAGGTATATTAAAAAATTGGTCAATCGTTAAATTCGAAAAATCGAAAAATTGAATAATTGAAAAGTGTAAAATTAAAAAAAAAATGAATAACTGATATATTGAAAAACAAAAAAAAGAGAAATCGAAGAAATCCAAGATTTAAAACTCGAAAAATTGAAAAATTGAAGAACGAAAAACTGACAAATCAAAAAATGAAAAATTTTTTATATCTAAAAATTGAAAAACCGAAAAATCGAGAAATCGACAAACTGAAAACTCTAAAATTTAGAAAATCGAAAAATTAAATTTCTATGTACCCATCTAAAAATTGAAAAATTCAAAAATGGAAAAATTCCCAAAATTAAAGTGCTGAAAGTTGAAATTTCGAAAACTTAAAAAATCAAAAAATTGTAAAATTTTCAACATTGAAAAACCGAGATGTAGAGAAATGGAAAATTTGAAAAATCGAAATAATCGAAAAATCTAAAATTGAAATGTAGAAAAATTGAGAAATCAAAGTTCATAGAAAGTCGAAACATCGAAAAATTGAAAAAACAAAAAACCGAAAAATCGAAAAACCAAGAAATTGAGACATCCAAAAATTGAAACATCGAGAAATCGAGACATTAAAAGATCGAGAAATCGAGGAATCAAAAAGTCGAGAAATCGAAAGAGCCCAAAATCGAAAAATTGAAAAATTTAAATTAAAAAAATCAATAAATTGAAAAATCGTAAAATTTAAACATCGTTTCATTTAAAAAATGAAAATCCACAATCTCAAATATTGAAAAATTGGTCAATCGATAAATTCGAAAAATAGAAAAATTGAATTTTTATAAAATCGGAAAATTGAATATTCGAAAAATGTAAATTTAAAAAAAAAACGAAAAAATGAATTACGAAGAACCGAAAAATCGAAAAATCGACATCCGAAAAATCGAAAATTAAAATATGTATAGTTTCATTCTACCCTATAAAATTTTATTGACAATAACGAGACGGACAGTAGTACAATGGTAAATATTAATGACTCGCCACCAGTTTACCCCAATTTGTCGGAGAACATTTAGCAGGTAGTACTCGTAATAGGATAATGATCATTGTCCGGACCTGAATTATTCTGGCTTTCTAACATCTGGGAATTACCGGCACGCGACAAATTTAAGTAGTACATTTCTCTCGCTATTGTACAATAAAATTTTATAGAATGAAATTTCCAAAACGATATCTGAAAATTGAAAAATCTGGAAATGGAAAAATACTAAAAATTAAAGTGTCGAAAAAACAAAAATTTAAATTTGGTAAAATCGAAAAAAATAGAAAAATGTAAAAAAATTGAAAAATCGAAAAACTAAAAAGTCGAAAAAATAAAAAAAAGCTGACATTTTTCTCCGGGATTTCTTCCTCTTTTCAAAAATTTCCCACCGAATCTTTTTTTTTCCTGGAACCACCAGGACTGGCACCTGTGCCGGTCACCTCGTTAACTGTCGTTTACAGCGGGTACGCCCCGTTTGCTCATAATCAGGTAGCTCGAAAGTTTACCTGATCGGAGAAATACTTGAAGATGGTCGATTAAGAATGAGATATTGTATAATGTGCTCGTCCCACTTTCGCTACTTGTTGGTGTTGATTGTGAGTGGAAGTAGGGCGGTACGAAAATAATGAGATGTGGACGTTGTTTTGATTTCTTGGCAATTGGTGGAGCAGGGCTGGAGTTGACTTCTCTCCGTGGGTGTGAGAAACGCGAAACGTCATTGTGTTCGTTCTCCATTTCGCTGTCATTTTCGATTCACGTTCAAGAGTTATTTGCGAAGTTTCTCTTCAATTATTATTCCAACGTTACAAGTTCTGTCAAAGTAAAATATTGGCTTACGTAAGCGTTGTCACCGTCTTCTTCTAACTTTCTTCCTTTCTTCGGTGCGTATTCTTCATGAAATATTCAAATCGTTGCAACCATTGTCAAAATAATTAATGGTGTAACTGTCATTCCATATTCTAAAGCCACACACAAAAGTCCTTGTTCAGAATTTGTCGCGCTGTCCCCTTTCCCCTCAATCCACTAAATCAATTCCCGCACTAACTGTCAATCCTCGTGGTAATTACTCTCGCGCCTCAGGCGCCTCACTCGGTCCAATTCTGTCCACTCATTACGCTCAGTTATACAAACAAACTCATCTTGCAGAGAGCCCCATCGACGAGAAGTTCATCCACCACGACAAATTCCGCCTCAAATTCGACCTGGCGAGCATCCCCAAGGGCGAGAAGCTCAAGGCCGCCGAGATCAAGCTGACTCGGGAGAGCCTGCCGGCGTCCGGCGCCGCCCCCATCTACCGCCTTCTCGTGCACGACATCCTGCGGCGGGGCGTCAAGGGCAAGCGCCCCCCCATCATGCGGGTGATCGACTCGCAGCTGATCGACACGAGGGAGAACTCCACGGTGAGCGTCGACGTCTCCCCGGCCGTGCAGAGGTGGCTGCAGGACCCCAAGACCAACTACGGGGTGCTGGTGGCGCTGCACGCGTCGGGGAAGGCGGCGGCGACGCGAAGACACTTGCGGTTGCGCCGCCACGCCGACGCCGACTGGTGGCAGAAGCAGCCGGTGCTGTACACGTACACCGACGACGGGAAGAACAGGCAGAGGACGGCGGCGGAGATGAAGCTGAGGCCGAAAAGGGGCGCGGGCGCGAGGAAGATAAGGCAGAAGGAGAAGGATCCCTGCAGGAGGCGGAAGATGTACGTGGACTTCCGAGACGTGGGGTACGAGATTTTATAATACATCTGTATTAAAAAAAAAAAAAATAATAAAATGACAATGAATCAAAGAAGGTTGGTATAATAAAAAATTCCCCTATATTCGTTTTAAAGAAATATTATTAGTGGTGGCGGCACTGATTTTTTTCTGGTATGTAATTTGACAAATTCATACATACACAAATAACTGGAAAATATAACTTGGAAGAAAAACTTAACTGTTGGGTTTAAATTTCTTCAAGCAAGTAAATTTTGTGTACAATTCCTCAATTTTTTAGTAAAATGAAATTGAAAAATCGAAATGGAGAAATCGAAAAATTGAAACATTTAAATGTAAAAAAATCAATAAATTAAAAAATCGAAACATGTAAAATTTAAAAAACGAAAAATCTTAAAAATCCTAAAACTCAAATACTGAAAAATTGATTAATCCATAAATTCAAAAATCAAAGAGGAACTGAAGAATCGAAAAACTTAAAAAGCCCAAAACTGAAACATCGAAAAACTGGGATATCGACAAATTCAAAAATCGAAAAAGAAAGAATCGAAAAATTGAAAATAGAAAATCAATTTAACGAGAAATCGAACAACCGAAAAATTTAAAAATCAAAAAACTGAAAAATACAAAAATGCAAAATTTATTAAAAATGAAAAATTAAGAAATTCAAAAAATAAAAAACAAGATCGAAAAATCTAAAATTAAAAACTTAAAAAATTAAAATATTAAAAGCTGAAGAATGGAAAAACTGAAAAATCCCAAAACTGAAACATCGAACAATTCAAAAAACGAGAAATCGGAAAATCCATCCAAATCGACACATTGAAAAATCAAAAACCGGAAAAATATAATAAATGAAAATTTGAAAAATCGAGTTATCGAGAAACCAAAACATCGAAAAGTCGAGAAATCGAGAAAAGAGAAAATCACAATATCGAAAAGTTGAAAAAACAAAAATTGAAGAACTGAAAACTGAAAAGGAAAAATCGAGCCATCGAGACGTTGAGATACGGAAAGATTAAAAAGTCGAGAAATCGAGAAAGGGGAAATTCAAAATATCGAGAAATAGAAACGTGGAAAAATTGAAAAATTAAAAAACAAAAAAACGAGAAATTGAAAAACTAAAAAACGAGATATCGAAAAAGCTAAAATTAAAAAATTGAAGAATTAAAATATTAAAAGCTGAAGAATGGAAAAACTGAAAAATCCCAAAACTCACATAATGAAAAATAGATCAATCAATTAATTGGAAATTCGAAAAATTGAAAAATTGAAGACGAATTGAAAAATCGAAAAACTTAAAAATTCCAAAACCGAAACATCGAAAAATTCAAAAAACGAGAAATCGGAAAATCCATCCAAATCGACACATTGAAAAATCAAAAACCGGAAAAATATAAAAAATGAAAATTTGAAAAATCGAGTTATCGAGAAACCAAAACATCGAAAAGTCGAGAAATGGAGAAAAGAGAAAATCACAATGTCGAAAAATCGGAAAATCGAGAAGTCGAAAAATCGAATATTTGAAAAATTGAAAAAACGAAAGCCGGAAAAATCGAAAAATTGAAAAACTAAAAAAGGAGATATCGAAAAAGCTAAAAATTGAAGAATTAAAATAATAAAAGCTGTAGAATCGAAAAACTAAAAAATCGCAAAGGTCATATATTGAAAAATAGGCCAATCAATAAATTGGAAATTCGAAAAATTGAAAAATTGAAAAACTTAAAAATCCCAAAACTGAAACATCGAAAAACTGAGATCGAAAAATCCAAAAATTGAGAAATCGAAATGAGGAAGAATCGAAGAATAGAAAAATAAAAAACCTGAAAAAGCGAAAAATTGAAAAATCAAAATGTCGAGAAACCGGAACATCGAGTCACACGGAAAGAAGAAAATGAAAATATCGAAAGAAGAACGGAAAATTGAAAATGAAAAATCGAGAAATCGAGATGTTGAGAAACTGAAACATTGAAAAGTCGAGAAATCGAGAAAGGGAAAGTCAAGATATGGAAGTCGGGAAAATTGATCGAAAAATTGAAAAATCGAAAAATTTAAAATCAAAAAATTTAAAACAGAAAAATGTAAAATTAAAAAAATTGAAAAATTAAAATATTAAAACATGAAAAATCGAAAAACTGGAAAATCCCAAAACTCAAACCTTGAAAAATCCACAAATTGAAAAATCGAAGAGGATTTGAAGAATGGAAAAACTTAAAAAGCCCAAAACTGAAACATCAAATAAATGAGATATCGGAAAATTGAAAAATCGAGTTATTGAAAAACCAAAACATCGAAAAGTCGAGAAATCGACAGAAGAGAACATCACAATGTCGAAAAATCGAAATGTCGAGAAGTCGAAAAATTGAAAAACAAAAACCGGAAAAATCGAAAAATTGAGAAATTGAAGAAGTGAAAACTAAAAATGAAAAATCGAGAAATCGTGACCTTGAGAAACCGAAACAATGAAAAGAAGTCGAAAAATCGAGAAATCGAAAAGTAGAAAAAAATTGAAAGAACCAAAAACCGGAAAAATCGAAAAATTAAGAAACTGAAGAACTGAAAACTGAAAATGAAAAATCGAGAAATCGAGAAGTTGAGAAACCGAAACATTGAAAAGTCGAGAAATTGTGAAGGAGAAAATCAAAATATCAGGAAAACGAAAAATGGAAAAATTGAAAAAACGAAAACCGGAAAAATCGAAGAATCCAAAAGTTGAAGAACTGAAAACTAAAAATGAAAAATCGAGAAATCGAGAGCTTGAGAAACTGAAACAATGAAAAGTCGAAAAGTCTTGAATCGAAAAATCGAAAAATTGAAATAACAAAAACCGAAAAAATCGAAGAAAAAAAAAATTGAAGAACTGATCCAGAGATCGAAACATCGAAAAGTCGAGACATCGAGAAATCGAATACTCAAAAAATTGAAAAAAACCCGGAAAAATCGAGAAATTCAAGAACTGAAAATGAAAATGAAAAATCGAGAAATCGAGACTTTGAGAAACCGAAACATTGAAAAGTCGACAAATTGAGAAAGGAGAAAATAAAAATATCAAAAAGTCGAAAAGTCGAGAAGTCGAAAAATCGAAAATTGAAAAACAAAAACTAGAAAAATTGAAGAACTGAAAACTGAAAATGAAAAATCGAGAAATTGAGATGTTGGGAAACCGAAACATTGAAAAGTCGAGAAATCGAGAAAGGGGAAAATCAAAATATCAAAAAGTCGAAAAGTCGAGAAGTCGAAAAATCGAAAATTGACAAAAACTAGAAAACTTGAAGAACTGAAAACTGAAAATGAAAAATCGAGAAATTGAGATGTTGGGAAACCGAAACATTGAAAAGTCGAGAAATCGAGAAAGGGGAAAGTCAAAATATCGAATAATCTAAAAAACGAAAAGTCGAGAAGTCGAAAAATCGAGAAATCGAAAAGTCGAAAAATTGAAAAAACCAAAAACCGGAAAAATCGAAAAATTGAGAAATTGAAGAACTGAAAACTGAAAATGAAAAATCGAGAAATCGAGAGGTTAAGAAACCGAAGCATTGAAAATTCGAGAAATTGAGAAAGGAGAAAATCAAAATATCGAAAAATCTAAAAGTCCAATAGTCGAAAAATCGAAAAATCGAGAAATCGAAAAGCCGAAAAATTAAAAAAACAAAAACCGGAAAAATCGAAAAATTGAGAAATTGAAGAACTGAAAACTGAAAATGAAAGATCGAGAAATCGAGAGGTTGTTGAGAAACCGAAACATTGAAAAGTCGAGAAATTGAGAAAGGAGAAAATCAAAATTTCGAGAAATCGAAAAATCCAAAAATTGAAAAGACAAAAACCTAAAAAAAATGGAAGAAACGAAAAATTGAAGAACTGAAAACTGAAAATGAAAACTCGAGAAATCGAGAGGTTGAGAAACCGAAACATTGAAAAATTGAGAAAGGGGAAACTCAAAATATCGAAAAATCTAAAAGTCCAACAGTCGAAAAATCGAAAAATCGAGAAATCGAAAAGCCGAAAAATTTAAAAAACAAAAACCGGAAAAATCGAAAAATTGAGAAATTGAAGAACTGAAAACTGAAAATGAAAGATCGAGAAATCGAGAAGTTGAGAAACCGAAACATTTAAAAGTCGAGAAATTGAGAAAGGAGAAAATCAAAATATCGAGAAAACGAAAAATGGAAAAATCGAAGAATCGAGAGTTTGAGAAACCGAAGCTTTGAAAAGTCGAGACATTGAGAAGGAAGGAAATCCAAATATCTAAAAGTTGAGAAGTCGAAAAATCGAGAAATCGAAAAATCCAAAAATTGAAAAAACAAACCCGAAAAAATGGAAGAAACGAAAAATTGAAGAACTGGAAACTGAAGATGAAAAATCCAGAAATCGAGAAGTTGAGAAATCGAAACTTAAATATTCGAGAAATTGAGAAAGAAAATCAAAATATCAGGAAAACGAAAAATGAAAAAATTGAAAAAACGAAAACCGGAAAAATCAACAATCGAAAAGTTGAAGAACTGAAAACTGAAAATGAAAACTCGAGAAATCGAGAGGTTCTTGAGAAACCGAAACATTGAAAAGTCGAGAAATTGAGAAAACAAAAACCGGAAAAATCGAAGAAACGAAAAATTGAACTGAAAGCTGAGGATGAAAAATCGATATGTTGAGTAACCGAAACAGAAAAATCGAGAAAGGGAAAAGTCGAAAAATTGAAAAAACAAAGACCGGAAAATTAGAAACAACGAAAAATTGATGAAGTGAAAACTGAAAATGAATGTTGGGAAATCAAAAACTTGAAAAATTGAAAATTGTAAAAACTTAAAAACCAAAAAATTGAAAAAAGAAATAGAAAAATTTTAAAAACGAAAAATTGTAAAACTCAAAAACGAGAAATTGAAAAACTAAGAAACGAGAAATCGAAAAAGTTATATTAAAAACTTGAAAAATTAAAATATTAAAAACTGAAGAATCAAAAAACTGAGATCAAAAATTCAAAAATCGAGAAATCGAAAAGAGATAGAATTGAAAAATAAAAACCTAAAAAATCGAAAAAATGAAAAATCGAGATGTCGAGAGATGGAAATCGAGAAAGAAGAAAATCAAAATATCGAAAAATGGAAAACAGAAAAATCAATTAATTGAGAAATCGGAAACTCGAAAAATTGAAAAATCGAATAATTTAAAAACCAAAAAATTTAAATACAAAATTAAAATTTAAAGAACGAAAAATTGAAAAACTAAACAACGAGAAATCAAAAAACCTAAAATTAAAAATAGAAAAATTAAGATATTAAAAACTGAAGAATCAAAAAACCGAAAAATGATTTTTTTTTTTAAACAAATAATAATTGAAAATTCAAGAAATAGACAAATCGTAAAATCTAAAGTTTAAAAAATCGAAAAATTAAAATCTCCAAAAATTGAAAAATCCAGAAATGGAAAAATTCCCAAAACGAAAAATTGAAAAAATCTAAATGTTGAAAAGTCGAGAATTTGAAAAATCGAGACTCGAAGATAAAAAAAACTTGAAGAATCGAAAAATTTAAAAACCAAAAAATTGAAAAATAGAAAAATGGAACATTTAAATAACGAACAATTGAAAAATTGAAAAGCTAAAAGCGAAACTTCGAAAAACCAAAAATTAAAAAATTGAAAAATTAAAATATTAAAAACTGGAGAATCGAAAAACTGAAAAATCCCAAAACTCAAATATTGAAAAATCGATCAATCGATATTCGGAAAATCTAAAACTTAGAAAATCGAAAAATTAAATTATTTCAAAATTGAAAAATCCAGAAATGGAAAGATTCCCAAAGCTCTAAAAAGTTGAGATTTCGAAAACTTGAAAAATCGAAAAATTGAAAAACCGAGATGTTGAAAAACCGTTAAATCGAAAAATTGAAAATCGAAGAAGGATTGAAGAATCGAAAAACTAAAAAAGCCTGAAACATCGAAAAACTGAAGTATCGAAAAATTGAAAAAAGGAAGAATCGAAAAATTGAAAAATCAAAAACCTGAAAAGTGGAAAAAATGAAAAATTGAAAAACCGAAATGTCGAGAAAACGAAACATCGAGAAGTCGAGAAATCGAGAAGGGAGAAAATCGAAATTTCGAAAACTCCAAAAATTTGGGACGAATAAAAGATAATGGTGAAGTATTATAATAGCGACTATTTATTTCCAAATTAATAAACAGACTAAAACACGTATATAATTGACTATAACTAATTTAACAAGTCGCATTAAGTAATTTTTTGTACTAATTTTGATTTCAATTAATTGTTCAGTTTTTTGTCAATTTTAGTCAATAAAAAAATTCGTTTAAAAAATAAAAACACTCTTCCTAGACTCAATTTATAACCTCAAAACTCAGCTCATTTGGAGCGGTATTAGGGGAATACCGGTCAATGTCTGGTACTTAAATATGTACGTTCATCCTACAATGTTTCTGATTTCAAATAATACCTCAAAATAAATAAAAAAAAATCAAAATCGCATCAGTTGCCAAAAAGTGAAAATTCATTAACTCAACTAAATACGTTTTCTACAAATTCGCTTGTGGTGGTTCCAGGTGGAGCGACTGGATCGTGGCGCCCCCGGGGTACGACGCGTTCTACTGCTTCGGGGCGTGCGACTACCCCCTGCCCGAGCACTTCAACACCACCAACCACGCCATCGTGCAGAGCCTGGTGAACTCCATGAAGCCGACGGAGGTGCCGAAGCCGTGCTGCGTGCCGACGAGCCTCTCCTCCATCTCCATGCTGTACGTCGCCAGCGACGGCAACGTCATCCTCAAGAACTACAAGGATATGGTGGTGGTGGGTTGCGGGTGCCGATAATGCCCGAACTCCTGCAACTCGTCTGTGATGTGTGGTGGAATTTAAACTCGTGTCTGTGATCTTCTTAGACTGCTGAGTCCCAGTGAAGTGACTGATGGTGGACTGGGTGAAACCCGGGACTGGACTGGACTTTCCTTCTCTTTCTCATCTGTGATTGTAATTTTAACTCATGTGTTGGACGACCGAACCCTCTGGAACTGTTGTTGTTAACCAGTTGTCTTTCACGTGACTGGAGCGTGCTCGACTGCAGTCGATGTGAAAGTTAAAGTCGGAAATTTAGGTGGATTTGAATAGCGATCGATGCGCTGAGTCAAGTGTAATATATTAGTACCTGGATAAGGAGTATTTATTGATTATTTTATAGGGATGTGCATATTGTACAGAGTAATTTGTAATATAAATTGACGATAATTGTTTCTTAAAGTTAGCGCTTGTACAGACTGTATATATTAAAATATTTCATTCTTTGCGAGGTGTTTTTCTTGGGAAAACCGACGTAGAAGTAGCACGTGTGCGGTTATTTCAACATATCCTGCGAACGAGGAAATTTAATTTTCATGAGCGACTCTTCATTCATTAATGATATTTACTGAGATTTATCAAGGTTGGACGTGGGTGTACAAGAACGCTCTATTTTTGTAAGGTAGGTAAGTCATAAATTCCTAAAAGAATTTCAACCAGTCTTTACGCGGAATTTTTCGCACTCTGAAACATACAATTTCGACGAAACGTCTAACTCAGCCCCCGGATTATTGTAATCACAACATGACTAATTTTTTTATTAACCATACATACATAGCAAATTTTTAAAAAGTAATTTAAACAAGTGAAGCCAGAAGCTTCAACATACGGCCGAGGCGAAGCCGAGATTCCCAAAAGTATAAGAAAATTTGATTTGTTTTCGAAATTTTAGACATTTTGGCAGCAATTGACTTACATGATACACACAAAAATTAAAGAACATTTAGTAAACAAATTTTGCCGAAGGTTATTTCGACAGAACTTTCCTCGCCCCTGAAGTGCAGCCCAAAGTATAAACTTTTTGTGCGATTTTGTTTTTAAAAAATCGTAAAATCGGAAGATTGAATAATCGAAAAATATGAAATTAAAAAAAAAGGAAAAATGGAAAAAGTGAAAAATCAAATGAGAAATCGAAAAATCTAAAATTTAAAAAATAGATAAGTTGAAAAAATCGGAAAATTGAAGCATCCAAAAACCGAACGATCAAAAATTTTTTAAATCTAAAAAGCGAAATATCGAGAGATTTAAAAAAATCGAAAAATCAAAATGTCTAAAAATTAGGGATGTACCGACTAGTGGCCGACCGGTCGGATAAGCCGACTATTCGGCCATTTTTCACCGTCGGCTGGCAGTCGGCGACTGGTCGGCTAAACAGCCGATCGGTCGGCTTTTTTTATTAAAATTAAAATAGTATATAATACAATAAATTGTGTTATTCTGTATTTTTGTACTGAGTTACTACGAAAAAAAAATCAATGTTAAAATTATTCAAACAAATTTAACACATTTTTTGGAAAACAAAGGAACTTTTATTAAAATAAAACAAATTTTTAAGATAGTCAGAGAAATAGAAAAAAAAACACACTGTCTATCGCATTGTAAACCAGTTTTAGCAAAGCCGAACAGTCGGCCGACTAGTCGGTTTTTACTGGCCGAACAATCGGCTAGTCGGTTAGTCGGCCAGACCTACAGTCGGTACATCCCTACTAAAAATTGAAAAACCCAGAAATGGGAAATTTTCCAAGTGCTAAAAAGCTGAGATTTCGAAAAGTTGAAAAATCGAGAAATGGAAAAACCGAAAAATCGATAAACGTAAAATGTGAAAAAACTAAAAATTGAAAAATTCCAAAACTGAAAACTCAAACCATCGAAAAACTGGAAATACGAAAACTTAAAAAGCCAAAAAATTGAAAAATCAAGAAAAAAGTAAACGGAAAAATTTAAACATCGAGAAATCTAGACATTAAAAGATCCAGAAATCGGGGAACCAAAAAGTTGTGAAATCGGAAAATAGAAATAACCAAAAATCGAACATTTCCAGAATTTAAATTTACAAAAGCCGATAAACGGGAAAATCGAAGAATCGAAAAACTTAAAAAATGAAACATCGAAAAATTGAGATATCGAAAAATTTAAAAATCAAGAAAACGAAAAGAGGATGAATTGAAAAAATTAAAAATGAAGAATTGAAAACCTGAAAATCGAAAAATCGGGATGTTGAGAATCCCAAACATCGAAAATTCGAGAAATCGAAAAATGACAAAATCGAAATATCGAAAAACCTAAAAGTCGAAAAGTTGACAAGTCGAAAAATCGAAAAATCGAAAAATAGAAAATTCTAAAAATTACAAACCTGAATTATCGAAAAATTGAAAAATCAAAAACCGGAAAAATCGAAAAACTGAAAAGCTTAAAAATAGAAAAATCACATCCAAAAATCGAAAACATGAGAATTGAAAAATTTAAAAACCAAAAAACCGAAAATTCGAAAAATGCAAAATTGAAAATTCGAAAAATGCAAATTTGAAAAAACGTAAAATCAGGACATCGAAAGATCTAAAATTAAAAAAATTAAAAATTAAAATACCTACTGAAAATTGGAGAATCGAAAAACACTCTGAATGTTGAAAAATTGATCAAGTCGAAAATCGAAAAATCCAAAAATTTTACAAATCGAAAAATTAAAATGTTTAAAAATTGAAAAATCCAGAGATGGAACAGTTCATAAAGTGCTGAAAAGTGGAAAAAAATCGAAATTAAAACAGCCAAAAATCGAAAATTTCAAAAATTTAAATTTAAATAAAATCGATAAATGGAAAAATCGAAGAAGAATTGAAGAATCGAGAAACTTAAAAAGCCCATAAATGAAACATCCAAAGATTCAAAAATCGAGAAAGCGACAAGAGGAAGAATCGAAAAATAAAAAAAATTCAAAAAATCTGAAAACCTGAAAAAATGAGAAATGAAAACTTGAAAATCGAAAAATCAAAAATCTGGAAAATTGAAAAAATGAAAAACTGAAGAATTGAAAACCTGAAAATCGGAAAATCGAGACGCTGAGAAACCGACAAATGAGAAAATCGAAATATGGAAAAATCCAGAAATTTAAAATTCGAAAAATTACAAACTTGAATAATCGAAAAATTGAAAAATCAAAAATTGAAAAATTGAAGAATTGAATAATGGAAACATCGAGAAATCTAAATGTCAAAAAGTCGAAAAGCCGAAAAATCGAGAAATCGAAAAACCGAAAAGTAGAAAAATCAATTAATCGAGAAATCAAAAACTTGAAGAATTGAAAAATCGAAAAAGTTAAAAACCAAAAAATTGAAAATTCGAAAAATGTAGATTTTAAAAAACGAGAATTAAAAAATTGAAAAACTAACAAAAAAAAAACCGGGAAATCGAGAAATCCAGAAATCGAACAAAATCTAAAATTAAAAATTTGAAAAATTAAAATATTGAAAAACTGAAAAATCCCAAGCCTCAAATATTGAAAAATTGTTCAATCGATAAATGTAGAAATTCAAAAATTCATAAATTGAAGAAAAATTGAAGCATTAAAAAACTAAAAAATGCCAAAACTGAAACATCGAAAAGTCGAAATATCGAAAATTTGAAGAAGTAAAAACCTGAAAAATCGAGTCGATAAACCCAGACATCGAAAATTCGAGAAGTCGTGAAATGAGAAAATCGAAATATAGAAAAATCTAAAAGTCGAAAAGCCGAGAAGTCGAAAAATCGAAAAATTATTAAAACCAAAAAATTGAAAAATAGAAAAACGTAAAATTTAAAAAACGAAAAATTGAAAAACTGAAAAATGAGAAATCGAAAAACTAAAATCCCAAAAGTCAAAAATTGAAAAATTGATCGATCGATAAATCGAAAAATTAAAAAATTCCAAAACTGAAGCATCGAAAAACGACCAAAAACTCAAAACTGATATCGAAAAACTATGATATCGAAATATCAAAACATCGATAGATTCAAAAATCAAAAACCTGAAACATCGAAAAATTGAAAAATCGAAGATGAATTGAAGAATCGAAAAACTGAAAAATCCCAAATATTAAAACATTTGTCAATCGATAAATCGAAAAAATGAAAAATCCGAAACCTGAAAAATCGAGAAATCGAGATGTTGAGAAACCGAAATTGAAAAGTCAAAATATCGAAAAATCGAAAAGTCGAGAAGTTGAAAAGTCGAAAATAGAAAAATCAATCAAGTATAATCAAGAAATTGAAAACTAGAAAAATTGAAAAATCGAAAAATGTAAAAATCAAAAAATTGATAAATCGAAGAGAAATCGGAGAATCGAGAATCTAAAAAATCCCAAAGCTGTTGAAAAATCGGGAAATCAAAAATTCGAAAAATTGAAAATTCAAAAACTGGAAAAATCTAAAAGTCGCAAAATCAAGAAATCGAAAAGTCGAAAAATAGAAAAATCAATTAATGGAAAAATCGGAAACTGAAAAGTTGAAGAATTGAAAAGTGAAAATCTAAAAATCGAGAAATCTAAAAATCGAAAAGTGGCAAAAATCGAAAAATCAATTAATCGAGAATAAAATTTCGAAAAATGCAAAATTTAAAAAACGGAAAATTAAAAGAAATAAAACGGGAAATTGAGAAATCGAAAAATCTAAAATTAAAAATTGGAAAAACTGAAAAATCTCAACAACCAAATATTGAAAAATTGATCAATCGTAAATCGAAAAAACCAAAACTTAAACATCGAAAAACTGGGATATCGAAAAATCGAAGAATCGATAAATTGAAAAATCGAAAACCTGAAAAAACGAAAATTTGAAGAATTGAAAACCTGAAAATCGAAAAACTCGAGAAATCTAAAAGTTGAAAAGTCGAAAAATATAGCATCAAATTAAAGATGAAAAATTTAAAAACGGAAAAACTAAAAAAACGGGAAATCGAGAAATCAAGAAATTGAAAAATCTAAAATTAAAAGTTCGAGGAATTAAAATATTAAAAAACTGGAAAGTCGAAAAACTGAAAAATTCCAACACTCAAATATTGAAAAATTGATCAATCGAAAAATCCAAAAATTGAAAAACTGAAAAGAAACTGAAGGAAACATCGAAAAACCAAAAAATCACAAAACTAAACATCGAAACACATATCGAAATGTCGAAGAATCTATAAATTGAAAAACCGAAAACTGGAAAAATTTCGGGAATTGAGAAAATCAAAATATCTCAAAAACTAAAAGTCGAAGATTCGAGAAATCGAAAATTGAAAAATCTATTAATCGAGAAATAGAAAACTTGAAAATTTGAAAAGTCGAAAAACTGAAAAATCAAAAAACCGCAAATTCGAAAAATGCAAAATTTAAAAAACGGACATTAAAAAATTGAAAAACTGAACAAAAAACGGAAAATCGAGAAATCAAGAAATCGACAAATCTGAAAAGAAAAATGTATCAATCAAAAA